CTTGGAAACCTGCTGGCAGAGAGCTGCGTGCCCCGAGAGAAGCAGAGGCCGAAGAGAAACAGGAGGCAGGGCACGTGAGCCATCTGGAAACCGGATTGCAGGGGGAGGAACAAGGTGGGATGTCAGAAGACGGGACCAAGGAAAGGTTCTGCGCCATCCAGAGCTGTGGTAGTAAAGTTGGGGCTGATTCGGGCGATTCAGGAAGTAGCTTCAGAGCTCTAGATCTACTCCACCCAGAGGGCGAGCCCTGCGGTTCGTACGGCAGCCAGATGGGGCCTGGCTGGGATGTTGCCTCTGTGGAAGCTGAATCCAGCTGTGCCAAGACGGTGGAGAGAGAGGCCCACCCCACGGATGGGAGTGAAACTGGTTTGAGAAGAGGACAAGGCCCGGAAAAAGACAGGAGGGGGCAGGTTGAGGAGAGCCAGTATGGACAGGAGAGGATCCAGGCATTCTGTGCCACCAGTGACATGGGCTTGTCAATCCACCAGCGCCATGTGCAATCTCACGTGGCATATGCGTTCTCCTCGGTGGCCAAAGTTCAGGTGGAGGAGAACTTCATCAAAGAGAGGAACCCCAAAGAGCAAAACCCAGCTCAAGACACTCACCTGAGAGGCAAAGTCTATGACTACTATGTTCAGTCTACCTCCCAATCCATCATGAATAAAAACACCCTCGCTACCAACCTGGATCCCCAACAATCCTGCCCCCTCTCTGCTACCAACATACTCAATGTTTCCAAGGAGTGTTTGGCTGAGGAACCTGTCCACTCTTCAGGGACAGAAAATGAAGCTGACAAGCTTATTTTGGAGAAGGTTCCAGACGTATCTTCTAACGTTCTCCTTAGTCCTGCAAAAGCCATCCCACCTGAGGACGAAAGAGGGGTTGTTGCTGTTGAAGAAGCCATCTTCCCAAAACCTTCGGTGGCCAGACGTAGCTTGAGCCGGAAAGAGAGCTTCCACAAAATTGTAGATAATCCAGAGTTCCAGGTGCCAATGGAAGGTTTTGGTTCTCCAGCAATGGGACCCTCAAGTGGCGACACCCTGCCTCCAGCTCTTCTTCACTCTGACTCTGCTTCATCTCTGGTGCAAAATCTCCAGAGCACCAGAAGAGAAGAGCCAGTGGTGGAGCTTGTGGCGGGTGCTAAATTTTTCCATGTCCCGCTGAGCTCCGAATCCTGCCTGGATGTGCGCTTAGATCTGGGGAACTGCTATGAGGTCTTGTGCATGGCCAAGAAGCAGCAACTGAAGGATCTGCAAGAAGCAGCCTATAAGGTCATGAGTGACAACTATCTCCAAGTGCTGAAGACCCAGGCCATCTACCGCCAACTCAATGCTGCGGAGAGGGACTTAATCCTACAGAAGAGGATGCAGGGCAAGAAATACATGACTGTGGCAGACATCAGTTCCCACGCAAGTAGACTCTGTTACTACGATGATCAGAAGGACACTTGGTTTCCATTAACACACATACCTGTTGAAGCCATCTCCAGGGCCTGTGCCATCTGCAGCATGTTCAACTACCTCTTTGTAGTGGCTGGCTGCAAAGGGCATGGATGGCATCAGAAGCCATCCAACCGTGTCTTCTGCTACAATCCCTTGACCAACATCTGGCAGGAGATCTGTCCACTCAACCAGGCCAGACCCCACTGTAAGTTAGTTGCCCTAGATGGTTGTCTCTATGCCATTGGTGGAGAATGCCTCTATACAGTGGAACGATACGACCCACGCCTGGATCGTTGGACGTTTGCTGCTCCTCTACCCAACGACACCTTTGCCGTGGCCCACACGGCCACCGTCTGCGACGGGGAGATCTGTGTCACAGGAGGCACTTTGAGGTACATGCTGCTGAGGTACGTTGGACGGACAGACACCTGGAAAGTCAGTCTCACTGGAGGAAGTCAGGACAGGACAACCGAGATGGTGAGCGTCGACGGCTTCATCTACCGCTTCGACCTCAACCAGAGGATGGGCATCAGCGTCTATCGCTGCAGTGCCAAGGCCAAGCTGTGGTATGAGTGTGCCACCCACCCAATGCCGTTCCCACCTTGCTTCCAGTGTGCTGTCATCGGAAACCTCGTCTACTGCGTCAACCGGCAGTTCAACATCCGTTTCCTGGCCGACTTGGTGTCTCCACGATTTGGGACCAAAAAGCTGGAAAACTTCCCTTCTCCAAGAGGAACGCTTATCCCGGTTATCCTGACATTGCCAGAGGGGGACACAGCACCCCAGACGAGGGTTTGAACGATGCCCTTTGGAGCGATGAGGCAAACCTGCTCTCACCAAGGACCATCTCCTGGTTTACCTCTCCGCCCACCAAGAAACAGAGGCCGGTTGGGGCTACCTCTTTCTCCTAAAATACTTAATCCTTGTAAATTTGCATACAAATTAACTGCAGCCTTCCAGGTCTTGGAGCATGGCCAGAAGCGAGTAGAAATGTAGGCCAATTCCATACAACCAGGACGGTGGGACTCTGCACCGTGTTATCTCCCGTTGGTCTCTTGATTTAAGATTAAGTAATTCCATGTTCTCCGACTGGGACTGATCTCGGGATCTTAGTTATTGATAGCCTGTAGGGGAAGGGAAGTTCAGATCAATCTCATCAGAGCAGAGAGCTTATTCCACCCACTATCCTACCAACGAAGGGGCTCTGGGAAGCCAGAGACCATCCAGATGTGATCCCAATAATATTTCTTCATATCTCCAGCCACTGATAATTGGAGGAGATATGAAGAAATATTATTAAAGGAGATATGAACCTCCTTTAGGCCTGGAGGTTCTACTCCAAGACACAACCTTCTTCCATAAACGTGTCCAATCCCCTTTTTATCGTATTCTAGGCTGGTGGTTTTCATGGCATCCTATGTGGAGGATTTCACACCTTAATCGTTTATTTCTGTGGCTCTGTTTCTCCCCCTTAATTACCTTTTCTCAATCCTGCCTCTGCTGTCATTCAGTTGAACTGGGAGATCTAGTTTAGCAAAGGAGGAGAAAATAATGTATATTTTCATCCACGGGCCATCAGCTCCTGGAAGATGGGGACGCTTTGTGGGAACCCCACAGTGCCAGCATCCCGACGGATTCATCCTTACCTGTTTTAGTGGAGGAGTTAGCTCCATCCACACGTGCCGTTGCAGGAAATAGTAACCCAGAGGTTACTAAACCTTTGCCTGGTGCAGATCGTCTTTCTCCCGTCTCCTCCTGAACTTATGGACCTCTCACTTCCTTCACAGAAGCCTGCAGTGTTTGACATCATTCTGTTGCTGGCAGGTGGGCTGACGGGAACGAGCATCCCGTGACGTCACGGAAAGTCAGCCAATAGCAGCTCCGGTGGCAAATCACAACGAACTGTAGAGTCCTAATGCTGCTAAATAATTCATCGGTCGTTTTTCAGGGTTTGGCTGTGCGAGTAAAGTAAACAGCAGCAAAAGGCCTTTGAAAACTCTGCCTCGTATATGTTAATCTGCTTTTCCCCCCCTTGTTTATTTTTTTGCACTGCCCTCTCCTGCCCTTCCTTCTTCCATTACCATAAGTGACTGAAATTGGATAATTAAGATACATAACCTGCCATAATCATTAATACGCTTTACACCCACCGTCTTAGAATGTATTTGCCTCGAAGTACCACCAATTACTCATCCGGAGCATCCATTTCAAATGGACGCTGTTTCGTTTCGGGTTTTTTTTTTTTTTTAAGGCGTTGATGGACGGAGAGGGGGCCAAGGGGCTTCTGGCCCACGCTGGCTAGCAAAAATCCAGCCGTGGCTCCCAGATCCGCCCGCTCGGCTGCCAGCGGGAGACGGGCAGGGCTAGGTAGCCAACTTCGTTGCACGAAGGGTCTTTTTAGGCTCGACCCAAGGTGGAGCCCCTTCCTACAGCTCAGCTTCAGGGCTGCTTTTACTCTTCCTTCCCCGGCGTAACGGACTTTCTGCCATGGGCTCTGTGGCCTGGAAGCTGGGGAGCTGTGGGTGGGGGGCACCGTTGCCAGAAACGGTAATTTGGCAATAGCTGAATTAATGTGGATTTCCCCAACAGCGGCGAGGCGCTCGCTAACCCCTGAACTTTTCCCAGACTCGTCCTCTTCCCGAGCCTTTGCGCCTCCATGTATGTACGCACAGGGGCGCACAGCTCCACACACAAGTGCGCATATGTGATAATACCCGAAGAAAGGCGTGCGATGCCCAGGCCGGTTTGGATCGGAGTGATGAGTGACGTAACCCAGGAAATGTCATGGAATTAAGCGAGCAATTCCCATTAAAATGTCAGCGGCAGGACGTCTTCCAGCTGTGCGATGGGGCGGGACGGTTTCCCCCTTCGGTAGTTCAAATAAATGCACTTCGTGGGGAGTGTCATCCATCAGAGACAATACTAGTGGGTTGTTGGGAGGGAGACCCAGGATTTAGTCGGGTTTCTCCGTCTTCCTTTCCCTCGCTTTCGCTCAGCAAAGCCAAGTCGATATTTTAGAAACGTTTTGAACCCGCCACGCTTCACAAAGGGTCCAAGAGCGCTCAGCTAACCGTCCAGATGTTTCCTTGACCAGCCGACGCTTTTGCGACGGTGCAAAAACCTTGTGTCTGACCTCTGTTGTGTGAGAAAGCGATTTGGCTTCCCCCCACAAAAAGCCCTGCAAGGTCGGGACGCTTCTCTGTCTCTACCACCCCTAGTAGCCCTGTAGTAACCTCGTTGTAATGTTGTAGTAACCTTGTAGTAGCGAAGAAGCCTCGACCGGGGATTTCAGGGTGTTTAGCCTTTTCTCACTGCAGGCAAGAGCCCGGTTACGCGCTCAGCTTTCTGCCTGGCCTCTCCAGACGGCCGGATGATTTAGCCCCACGCCCGAGCTTTCCCGCCAGGGGCGTAAATGTCAGCCGTGAGAATGGAGAGCCGCCCAGAGCGAAGGGAAGGCTTTGGAAATTGCAACCGGCACCTTGCAAGCGCGGTGAGGTCAGTGTTAATGAAAAGATGCTATCGGGGAGGCTGGCCGGCTGCCAAGCCGACGTAATTAGCGGTATTTGCAGAAGATGCGGCTTAACAA